GATTGTTGAATCATATAGTAGTTTTACTTTTTGTTTTTTTTGTTTTTTTGAGGAAACTCCATACTGTTTTCCATAATAGCTGCATCATTTTACATTCCCAGCAACAGAGCATAACAGTTCCAACTTCTCTGCATCCTCACCAACACTTGTTTTCTGTTCTTTTGATAGTTGCCATCTTGAAGGGTGTAGATGATGTCTCATTGTGGTTTTGATTTGCATTTCCCTAATGATTAGTGATGTTGAGCATTTTTTTTAATATTCCTGTTGGCCATTTGTATATCTTCTTTGGAGGAATGTCAAGTCAAGTCCTTTGCCTATTTTTAAATCATTATTTGTTTTGCAGTTGCTGTTGAGTTGTAGGGGTTCTTTATGTATTCTTGATAGTAACCTCATCACATACATGATTTCCAATTGTTTCCCCCCATTCTGCAAGTTGTGTTTTCACTCTATTGATTGTTTTCTTTGACATAAAATGCTTTAAGTTTGGTATACTCCCATTTGCCTATTTTTTATTTTGTTGCCTGTGCTTTTAGTGTTATATCAAATAAATCATTGTCAAATCTAATGTTCTGAAGATTTTCCCTATGTTTTCTTCTGTGAGTTTAATAATTTTAGGTCTTATGCTTAAGTAAGTTTTTAATTTATTTTGCCTTAATTTTTGTATATGGTATTAGGTAGATGTCCAACTTCACTCTTTTCCATGGAACATCCAGTTTTCTCAACACTGTTTCTTGAAGAGACTGTCCTTTCTTCACTGTGTAGGCTTGGCATCCTTGTTGAAAATCATCTGGCCATATGTGCAAGGAGTTATTTGGGGGCTCTCTATCTGGTCTCATTAGTCTGTATATCTGTCTTTATGCCAGTGCCACAATATCGCGATTACTGTTGCTTTGTAGTATCATTTTGAAATTAGGCAGTCTGAATTCTCCAACTTTGTTCTTTTTCAAGATTGTTTTAGCTATTCAGGCTCCTTTGAGATCCCACTTGGAATTTTATGATTTTTTTTCATTTCTGCAAAAAAAATGCCATTGGAATTTAGATAAGGATTGTATTGAGTTTGCATCAATTTAGATGATCATGTGGTTTTTGTCCTTTATTTTGTCAATGTGGTGCATTACATGGATTGACTTTTGTATTTTGAACTATCCTTGATTCCAGATATAAATCCCACTTGATCTGAAGTATTATCTTTTTAACGTGCTGTTGAATTTACTAGTAGTTTGCTAGTATTTTGTTTAGGATTTTGCGTCAATATTCATCAGGGATATTGATTTGTAGTTTTCTTGTTGTGTCTTTCGTATCAGAATAAAGTTGGCCTCATAGAAGGTGTTTTGGAAGTGTCCCCTTCTGCTCTGAGGAGTGGTTTAAGGTTTGGTATTCGTTTTTCTTTAAAAATTTGGTAGAATTCTATAGTGAAGCCACCTGGATCTGGGCTTTTCTTTGTTGGAAGGTTTTTGGTTAATGTTTCCATATCCTGTATTCAATGTAGTTACAGGTCTGTTCAGATTTATTATTTCTTCAGGATTCAGTTTTGGTAAGGTTTATGTTTCTAGGAATTTACCCATTTCTTCTAGGTTGTCCAGCTTGTTGAGATATAATTAATCATAGAAGTTTCTAATACTCCTTTTTATTTCTGTAAAATCAGTTGTAATATATCCTCTATCCTTCCTAATTTTATCTATTTGATTCTTCTCTCATTTCCCTAAGTAGTCTAGCTAAGGATTTGCTAATTTTTGTTTTTCTAATCTCTATTTATCTTTGCACTAATTTTTTTAAAAATCTTTATTGCTGAAAGTATCAGATATGTCCCCTTTGTATTCCCATTGATCCCTTCTAGCCCACCACCGCCCCAGGCCTCCATAACCCTATCGCCTGTGTCCATGGGTTAGGCATCTATGCAAACAAGTATTTTGGTTGATTCCTCCCACCCACTCTCCCCTGCCTTCCCTCTGAGTTCCACAATCTGTTCCATGCTTTTATATCTCTGGATCTAATTTGTTCAACAGCTTATTTTGTTCATTAGATCCCACATACGAGTAAGATCATGTGATACTTATCTTTCTCTGACTGGCTTATTTTGCTTAGCATAATACTCTCCAGATAATTCCATGCTGTCTAAAAGGGTAAGCAGTCCTCCTTTTTTACTGCTGCATAGTATTCCATGGTGTAAATGTACTACACATTCTTTATCCACTCATCTGTTGATTGGCACTTGGTCTATTTCCAGATCTTGGCTATTATTGTAAATTGTGCTGCTATGAACATTGGGGTGCATACATTCCTTCGGGTTGATATTTTGGGTTTTCTGTAAATATTCCTAGGAGTAGGATCACTGGGTCAAATGGCAGTTCCATATTTAATTTTTTGAGGAAACTCCATACTGTTATCCATAATGGTTGCACCAGTCTGCATTCCCATCAGCACTTTTCTACACGTTCTTGCCAGCACTTGTTATTTGTTGATGGTAGCCATTCTGACAGGTGTGAGGTGATACCTCATTATTGTTTTAATATGCATCTCTCTGATGATCAGTGACTTTGAGCATTTTTACATGTCTCTTGGCCATCTGTATGTCCACTTTGGAGAAGTGACATCCCTTATATATTTTGTATATTAACTCTTCATCAGATGTATCATTGTCAAATATGTCCTCTCATACAGTGAGTGAAATGTTCTATAAATGTCAGTTAAATTCATCTGATCCAGTGTATCATTTAGAATCACTGTTTCCTTGTTAATATTTTTGTCTAGAAGATCTATCAGTGACGTTCCCTACTATGACTGTATTGCTGTCAATCTCTCCCTGAAAGTTCTGCGGAAGTTATTTTGTATATTTAGGTGCTCCTTTATTGGGTGCATATATGTTTACCAGCGTTATGTCCTTTTATTGGATCAATCCCTTTAGTAGTGACTTTTATTGTCTCTTGTGATGGCTTTCATTTTGAAGTCTATATTGTCAGATATGAATGTTGCCACCACAGTTGTTGTTGTTTTCATTTCCATTTGCATGGGAAAATTTTTTCCTTAACTTCACTCTCATCCTGTATGAGTTTTTCATTCTGAGTTGGGTCTCTTGTAGACAGCATATAGTTGGGTCATGTTTTGTATTCATTCAGCTACCCAATGTCTTTTGATTGGAGCATTTAATCCATTTACACTTAAGGTTATTATTAATAGGTACTTATTTATTGCCATTTATTTACTCATTTTACTAGGTTGCTCTCTCTAATTCTTCTTCTCATTACAGTAGTCCCTATAGCATTTCTTGCAGTGCTAGTTTGATGATGATAAATTCCTTTAGCCTTTTTTTGGGGGGGGGGGGGTCTGGGAAGCTCTTTATTTTACCACCTATTTTGATCGATAGCCTTGCTGGATATAGTAATCTTGGTTTCAGATCCTTGCTTTTTATTACCTTGAGTACTTCATGCCATTCCCTTCCGGCCTGTGGAGTTTCTGATGAGAAATCAGCTAACATCCTACGGGAGCTCCTTTGTAGCTAACAAATTGCTTTTCTCTTGCTGCCTTTAAGATTCGCTCTTTGTCTTTAAGTTTGGGCATTTTAATTATGCTGTGTCTGGGTGTGGGCCTGTTTGGGTTCTTCTTGCCTCCTGAACTTCTGTGACTTTTTCCTTCACCAGATTAGGTAAGTTTTCTGCCATTATTTCTTCAAACATGTTCTCTGTCCCCTGCTCACTTTTTTCTTTTCCTGACACTCCAATTATGAGAATACTGTTATGATTCATGTTGCTCCCTTAAGCGGTCCTCCTGTTTTATAATTGTTTTTTCTTTTTGGTTCTCTGATTGAGTGATTTTTTTTTTCTCTCTTCTAATTCACTGATCCAATCCTTGGCTTCCCTTCTCTGCTGTGTATTCCTTCCAATGTGTTCTTTATTAATGCTTGTCATTCTTCATAGTTACTATATTCTTCCTCATGCTGTTTAGCATCTTTGCCATCATTATTCTGAACTCTGTATCTAATAAATTTCTTATCTCCATTTCATTTATCTCTTCTTTGAGAGAATCCTCTTTTTCTTTTGTTTGGGCTTGTTTGTTTGTTTTTTGTCTCCCTATTTTGGCTGCCTGTTTGGGTTTGTGACTGTGTATTAGTAGATATGCTACACATCGCAGTCTCTAATGCAGGGCAATGTCACATGCTGTTTTGAATGGTCCTGTGTACCTTATTGGAGCTATAAACAATCCACAGCTTATGACTCCCTCTTCTGGGTCTGGGTGCCTTTGGAAAGGACCAAGATGTACACCAAGGCCTGCTTTTCCGAGCCCTGGGCCCCAAAGGATAAATACTGTATAATCTGACTAGTATGAGCTACAGACAATAGTCTAATTCACAGAGACAGCAAGTAGAATGGTGGTGGCCAGGGGCTGAGAGAAACGGAGAATGGGGAGTTGTTGTTTAACGGTACAGAGTTTTTATTTGGGATATTGAAAAGTTCTGAGGCTAGAATGCGGTGATGGTTACACAACATTGTGAATGTACATAATGCCACTAAATTATTCATTTTAAAATTATTTAAATGGCAATTTTATGTTATGCATATTTTACTAGAATGAAAAATTTTAATTTTATTTCCTCCTCCCTTAGATTGTTTTAAACTACCCTTGTAGAATAAGTGATGTCATCTATAAAGAATGGTTAGTAATGCTTTTTTGTATTTTTCCTCTAAAAAATATAATTTAAAAACATGTTCATCTGGCCTGGCCAGCATGGCTCAGTGGTTGAGCATTGAGCTATGAACCAGGAGATCACAGTTCAATTCCCGGTCAGGGCACATACCCAGGTTGTGGGCCAATTCCCAGTGCAAGAAGCAGCTGATCAATGATTCTCTCTCATCATTGATGTTTCTATCTTTCCCTCTCCTTTCCTCTTTCTGAAATGAATAATATATATATATATATATATATATATATATTTAAAAAACCACACAACAACAACAAAACAACATGTTCATCTGATTTCCAATCACTTAATCAAGTGAACGGGCATGGTTAGTGCCATATGCAATAGTCATGTCCTAGGCATCAATAATACCCATACTGAGGTCCACATAAATGTCCCTCATGATAAGATTCTGACTATAGCCATGAACGTCACCAAACATCTCTGCATGCAGACACAGCTCCCTGGTATTTACTGTTTAAGCAGTGGTTCTCAACCTTCCTGATGCCGACACCCTTTAATACAGTTCCTCATGTTGTGGTGACCCCCAATTTCATTGTTACAAATTGAACATAATGAAAACATAGTGATTAATCACAAAAACAATATGTAATTATATATGTGTTTTCTGATGGTCTGAGGCGACCCCTGTGAAAGGGTCGTTCGACCCCCAAAGGGGTCGCGACCCACAGGTTGAGAACCGCTGCTGTTTAAGGATCACCTTGGTCTCTGGGCTGCGCAAGAGCAGACATTCAATGGCCTTTTGCAAATTGATGGCCCTACTGATGAAAATGCTGATGGGAAAGGGTCTGAAGTGCTGTGTCTCTGTCTTCTGCTACCTGGTCAATTTCTCGTGGGATATAGTGTTCATCTTTCACAGAGAACAGATTCGTGGTAATAAATGGATGACCATGCTTTTCCCACTGAATCAAAATGTCTTTCAGCATCCAGAAGCATGTGGTTTAAAGACCCCGGTTCCACGGTGGTCAAAATATTTGAAGGCTAGTGGAAAAGAAGTTGATAAATCTCTTAACAAAAGGAAAATAAAGATGAAAGTTTAAAATGCACACAACATGTCTAAAATTCTATCCAAGGTCATTTCTAGCTAGAATAGATTTGCTGCCTATGGGAGGTAGTGAACTTTACCAAATACATTAAAATCTTAACAAAATTTGGAACTCTTTATAAGAATATAAGATAAAGAAGAAAAATGTTAATATTGTGAATAAAATACAAAATGTAACATTTTATTAAAAACCCTAATCAGAAAAGAAAAGCAAAGAATCCTAATTAGGTAAAAATAACCTCCAAAATGCAACTGTAATTTCAAAATAAAATAACATACATACTTTCAGAACTTTCTGTAAGTAGTTGACACAATGGTGAATCTCCCTTGAGGTAAATAAGTCTCATTTTACTCCATCAGTCGCAAAATGCTGTGACCCGCCTTTTCCACAGTATAACCCCTGGGAAAGGTATCTTCATTCCAACCTGGCATTTCTTTTCTAAGTTCTAACTCTGGCAATAAAAACTCCCACAGTAAGTCATTTTTATTACCACAAATAATTTAGGAAACACCTTTCTCGTTTTCTCCCCCCACCCCTTTCTCTTTCCCTCCACTTCTACCTCTGCCCTCTGCCCTTCCACAAATGTGTGTTAAACAAGTTCATCGTAAAGGCGGATACAGCGTTCCCGCTGAGTAGTTTTTCCTGGTGCAGGGATAGATTTTCTCTTGCACATTCGCATGTTTCCGTGGCTACAGCTCAGGCCACTGGACCGGGAGACAGCTGGCCAAATCAGGAGGAAATGTTTGGCCGTGAAACAGCAGTGTCCCCGCTGATCGCTGTACTGATGACATTGGCCTTGCAGAATTGTAAATCTCCCCTCCCCACGCTACTTATCCATGAAAAACACTTGAACATTTATGAAATGAGTGCCACATATATCTTATATCTTATTTTGTGTATGCCAGAATCATGTTCTCTGGCTAACTCTAAAACCCCTTAAATGTTTCGTTGTTGTGCTCAGAACTGAACGTAATAGTCTGTGTGGTCTGGTTAGTGCAGAAAAAGATAGGCCCCATTACCTCCTTATTCTGAATACTCCACTATAAAAGTAGCCTAGTCCTGGGCCATCGTCCTGTACACCAAAATGGGTGGGGTTTCCATTCCCAGTCAGGGCACATACCCAGGTTAGGGGTTGTATCCCCAGTCAGGGCTCATAGGAAAGGCAACTGATCTCTCTCTCTCTCTCTCTCTCTTTGTCTCTCTCTCTCTCTTTGTGTCTCTCTCTCTCTCTCTCTCTCTCTCTCTCTCTCTCTCTCTCTCTCTCTCTCTCCTTTCCTCAGTCTCTGAAATCAATAAATGTATCCTCAGAGAGGATTCTTTTACAAAGTAGCCTAAGCTGTCTTCACTGACTCATATCAGGCTTCCACTAGGTAAAATTCAGCACATTTTTATATTTGTGCCACTTTAAAGCCACACCTTCTGTGTCACCTACCTAGATTGTTGGGATTTGGGGTATAAGTTTAGGAACTTAAACTTACCCATATTAAATTATACCAGGTTTATAAAGGGCTCTGAAAAAATAACAGTCTGGCACTATCTTCTAAGAAACCACCAGCTTTACTAGAAATTACTGTCCAGGCAACAGAGAAACCAGAGAGATTAAGAGGACTCAAGTTGTCTCAAGAATCTAAGAACCTTCTTTGGTGTAAAAGTTGGGCCTGGAAGATGGTTGCCACGGCAGAAAGGGAATCTGACTTTTCCACAGAGCGAGAACTTTAGAATGGGCTCTTTATTTATGCCTATGTTCTCCACGGGGTTTTGCAAAATCCCTTGCCTAGAGTAGGTCCTCAATAAATATTTGCTGAATTCATGAACAGAGTGAATGTAGGCTCTGTTGACTGTTATAACAGAAGTCTTTTACTTTTCTGAAATTCACTTTCATTTCAGAGTAGCAGAAACATCACTTTTATGAGTGAGATGGTTTTATATTGACCACTGAAGTCCATGTGATAAAAGTGAGGGGGGAAATCACAAAAATTGCTAGTTTATGGGCCTTTCACTGAGATGGTTTGGCTGAAAAACAGGTTAGAAACCACCAAAGGAATTTCCTGACTCCGAGTTTCACCTGACACATTTTCACAGAGCACCAGTACCCAGTCATTAGCTTTTCAGAAATAAACCTCAAGTTTAAATAAAATTAACCTGTATAGTCCCAGCCGGTTTGGCTCAGTGGATAAAACGTCAGCCTGCAGACTGAAGGGTCCCAGGTTTGATTCCTGTCAAGGGCACCTACCTTGGTCACAGGCTCCCAGCCTGGTTGGGGGCATGCACGCAGGAGGCAGCCAATCGATGTGTTTCTCTCACATCGGTGTTTCTCTCTGTCTCTCCCTCTCCCTTCCACTCTCTCTAAAAATCAATGGAAAAGTCTCCTCCAGTGAGGATTTAAAAAAATAACAACAATAACGTGCACATTTTGAGAATAGGTAGCTGAAATTAAGAATTGCCAAGTTTTTTATATCTGACTCCAGACAAAAATGCAACTCCTACAAAAATAAAATCTCTTCTATAAAACCCAAAACAATTGATACTATCTGTCACAGGAAATGAGAGATCAAAATGGTAAATGTAACCCAAGTCAGTTTGGCTTAGTGGATAGAGTGTTGGCCTGCAGATCAAAGGGTCCCGGGTTTGATTCCAGTCAAGGGCATGTACCTTAGTTGCAGGCTCCTCCCCAGCCTGGTCTCTGGTTGGGGCTCGTGCAGGAGGCAACCAATTGGTGTGTTTTTCTCACATCGATGTTTCTCTCTGTCTTGCCCTCTCTATACCACTCTCCCTAAAAATCAATGGAAAAACATTCTTCGGTGAGGACTAGCAAAAAAAAATTTTAAAAAACCACTTTGTAAATATAGAAAAAAAAATTTTAAGGTAAATGTCAAGTATCTCTTAAAATAAGAATGTCCTTCAAGTGAATAGATTGTGAACATGACAGGCAATAGCACAATAGACTTACTGTTGCATTGTAAGACCTTGCTGGAGGTAAAGTCTTTCAGCAATTCAACTCCTATGTTGGACCTTCAAAAAAATGGAAAGATAAGTTAGCCTGATACCTTCCCAGATATTAAAGTAAGAATTAATCACTGTTTAGGTGGATTGAACCACCCTTAACTTTCTCTGCAGATGTATTGGGTTTTTTTTCTTTATTTGGATTTATTTAAAATATTCTGGTGGAGTGAATGGGTTAGGATTCTGGAAAACTGTTCTTCTGTTAATGCCAAGAGTCTGGAGATCCAGAGAGAGTCACTCATGCTCCATGTAGAATTAATCAAATATCTATTTCTTTGCATTTCCTTCTAACTTTTAACAAGCCATGCTCTGCTCACTTTACCACCTGTAGCAGTTTGGGCTTTCATTGCATTTTCCCCGCGCTTCTCCACCTGTGCACACATCAGAGGTATGTGAGTGCTGCTGCCACTCCGATTGCCTGGCTTCCTCCCACAGCTTCTGGTTCAATCGTTCTGGGAGCTCAAAGAGAGATCTGCACCCCCATGTTTGCAGCAGAATTGCTCACATTAGTCATGTGTGAAAATAACCTATGTGTCTGTCAATGGGTGAATGGATAAAGAAAGTGTGGCCTACAGGGGATTGTCAAGGGCGGGGGGGAAAAAAGGAGACATATGTAATACTCTTTGTAATACTTTAAGCAATAAAAAAAAAAGAAAGAAAGAAAGTATGGCCTATATATAAATTATTCAGCCTTAAAAATGAATGAAATCCTGCCATTTGTGACAACATGGATGAAGCTGGAGGATATTATACTAAGTGAAACAGGCCAGATACAGAAAAATAAATACTAAATGATCTCACTTTTTGTTGCTGTTGAATTTTAAAAAGTCAAACTCAGAGAGACAGAATAAAATGGTGGTTTCCAGGGTTGAAGGTTGGGAGAAATAGAGAGATTGTGGTCAGAAGGTATAAACTTATAAGAGGACTAAGTTCTGGGATCTAATATACAACATGGTAACTATATATATACTAGTGGCCTGGTGCTGGGAAAGTGTAGTCACTGTATTATAAATGGAAGGGAACCAGACTTAGTCTCTGGACTTGTGGGATGAAAAGATGTCATAGAGCCTGGCTTGGGCCAATGAAGGGGCCCAGGGCTCAGTGACAGAATAGAATGATCCCTGGGAGTTCTTGGATATGGAGTCACTCGTGAAGTCTAATTCCTCATACACATACTAAATCATCTGTGAGGAGACTCAAATCTCTGCTTCCATGCAGTAGAGAAAGAGCTGGACAGTTTGAATAGAGCCGGGGATCCAGGGAGGAAATGTGTCTATTGGGAAGTAAACAGGGCCAGGCAGACTACTGTCATGAATACAGGCCACTTGAGAAGCAATATGGGACCTAAAACACGAGCAGGTCTGCCAGTCCCGGGACTGGGGATTTCCTGAGAGCAGCAGGGACAGTGTACAAGGAGAGTCCCTCCAACAGGCTGCAATGAGGACCATCTCAAGCGGGAGCCAGGTGTGGCCAACAGAGAAGATAGAATCAGCACAGGTGGTCTCTGCCCTTAGAATTAAGGCATGGTTTGGAGACCTTCAGAACAGGCAGACCTCTATGTCTCCATGATCATTTCTCCTTTTGTTATTAGTAACCCATTTATTTAAAAAAGTCTAGCCTCTTTGGGACAAACTATAGAAAAGATATTTTTCCATACCTTGATCGGGAAAACAAAAAGAAGAGAAGGTGAGATAGGGTTGAAAGGAAAATCTTGACAGGATTATGCCCTGCGTCCTGCCCTTGAATTGGATTTGAACTTGAATCTCTAGGATATTATGCTATCCAGCTTGCTATCCTGAGCCCACATTGGAAAACCAAGGTATTTATACAGCAGGGGTTCCCAAACTGTGGAACCAAGTTCCTGAAAATGATCCATTAAGTTCATGTTCCATGGTCAAGTCATTTGGGGAAATGTTTTATGCTCTATCCCCACTTGAAGGGATACATACTGAAGTTGCTTTGAAGGACTGCTGCAAAGAAACCTACTTAATTGTTTTCCCAGATTGTATCTCACTTATTCTTTCCCCCAGCAGTTACTGGTATGTCTTAGGTGTTAAGCATTATGCTTGGCCTGTGAGACAAAGCAGTGGCCATCGGTGGCTTCCTATCATACATAGATGGCCTCTACGGTGCTTCCTACCCATCTGGCCTCCTCTCTCCTTCTTCGAATTCCAGCCTCAGTGGTCCCTCTCAGGATTCCTGGAACATTCCAGCATGCTCTTGCCTCAGACCCTAATCCCTCTCTTGGGAATGGTGTTTCCCCCAGAATTCACATGGCTCACTTCCTCACTTCCTTCAGGTTGCTACTCAAGATAGGCCTTACCTGGCCACTTTTTAAAATAGTGCCCCCATCACCTACAAAATCCCTTATTCTGATGACTTTATGTTACAAAACTATTTGTTTATTTGTTTGTTGTCTTTCTCGTCCACTAAAATGCTGACTTCCAAGCATCTAGAGAGCTATACTAGTATCTGGAATACAGAATGTGCTAACAACTATTTATAAATTGAATGAATGCATGCATGGTGAAAAATAGATGATTGCCTTACACAGCTTACAAATTAGCAAAAGATATAAACCTGTATTGAAAATTTAATAGTGTAATAAGTGTTCTAATTGAAGAACAGAATGCAGATGTGGAAGAAATGCTGTCTGAGGCCAGGCGTGTGAAATGCTAGGGTTGAAAGGGAGCATGGTTCATTTGTGAAATAAAAGTTAAAGTGAGACAAGAGATGCAGAGCTTGGAAAGTTCTGTAAACATATTCAAGAGTTTGGATTTCATCCTCAGAGCATTAAGGTCATATTAATGGTGTTAAGCAAGGAAATGTAAAATTCATCTGTGTTTAGAAACACCAGTCTGGGTACAGTGTGGAGAACAGATTGAAGGAAACAAGACTGTAGGCAAGAAACCCAGCTCTGGAGTTGCCGTAACCTAATTGAGGCACAATGATGGTTTATACAAGGACAGGGGCAACAACAGTGAGTGAAATGTCTGGACTCAGCAGATATTTGGGAGGTACAATTCATACAATTTGGCGATTCAGTTGCTGTAAAGCGTAGACTACATAATGGTACCATTCACAACCCCCCTTTTTTTATTTTGCAATGCATCTATTAATACTTTGTAGGATTGCTATTCCATGGAATACATGATAGGAAGTGATGGGCTATACAAAATTACTGAGTCTGGAAGTATTATAACTATGGAGAACTATAGGTATATAGAAAACACTTCTTTGATTATACTCCTTTTAGCAAATTGGATCACTAACACCACAGTTGTAGAGGTGACCTGTATGGGGCCCATGATTTTACTACCAGCTGAACTGACTCTGAGCAATAGGTCTAATTAACCCTAGTCATTATTCATCAACACAATAAGGGAGTCTGATTAGAAAAAGTTGGTCTGAACCAAATCTGCCCTTTTGTATCAATTATTGTATTTGAAGTCACTGGCATAAAAATTAACTATATAGCCTGGCCAGCATGGCTCAGTGGTTGAGCGTTGACCTATGAATCACGAGGTTATGGTTTGATTCCCGGTTATGGCATATGCCCAGGGTGCGGACTTGATCCTCAGTGTGGGGCATGCAGGAGGCAGCTGATTCTCTGTCATCATTGATGTTTCTATCTCTCTCTCCCTCTCCCTTTCTCTCTGAAATCAATAAAAATATTTTTAATTAACTATATAAAATTAGAGGCCCAGTGCACGAATTCGTGCACCAGTGGGGTCAGTCAGCCTGGCCTGCAGGATCAGGCCAAAACCAGCTCTCCAACATCCCCTGAGGGTTCCTGGATTTCGGGAGGGCACAGGCCAGGCTGAGGGACCCCACCTGTACATAATCATGTCCGGAGAGGGATGCAGGAGGTTGGCCAGCTGGGGAAGGACCGCGGGAGGGCTCCAGGGCATGTCCAGCCTGTCTCACTCAGTCCCGATCTACAGGACCCCAGCAGCAAGCTAACCTACCAGTCAGAGCATCTGCCCCCTGGTGGTCAGTACATGTCATAGCGACTGGTCGACCAGTCAACTGTCTGCCCCCTGGTGGTCAGTGCACATCATAGCAAGCAGTTGAGTGGCCTTAGCATATCATTAGCATATTACGCTTTGATTGGTTGAACGGATGACCGGACACTTAGCATATTAGGCTTTTATTATATAGCTTAAGTATATATTATTTGCTGATTGATTTTGAGTATTTACTAGTACCTTTGCCATTTATATAATTTAAAAAGTGATCCCCTCAATAAGTCTAGTACCTGGCACCATCCATAGTTATTACAATAATATTGACCATATCTCTATGCTCTCCTTTACATCCCCATGACTATTTGAAACTACCAATTTGTACTTCTTAATTCCCTTACCTTTTTCACCCAGGCTTCTAAGTCTGTTTTCTATATCAATGAGTTTGTTTCTGTTTTGTGTATTTATTTTGATTTTTGGATTTCACACATAAGTGAAATCATATAGTATTTGTCTTTCTCTGTTTGACTTATTTCACTTAACATAATACCCTCTAGGTTCATCCATGTTGTTGCAAATTGTAAGAGTTCGTTGTTTTTTATGGCCTAGTAGTATTCCATTGTGTATATGTACCACATCTTCTTTATCCAATTATCTGCCAATGGACACTTATGTTGCTTCCATATCTGGGCTATTGTATATGAAATGTCCTTTTAGGTCTCTTGTTATAGTCTTTGTGTTAAAGACTATTTTGTCTGATATCAGTATTAATTACTACCCCAGCTCTTTTTTCCATTTCAATTTTCTATGTTTTCATCATTTCAGTTATTATATTCTTAATTTCTAACTTTTTAAAAAATATATTTATTTCAGAGAGGAAGAGAGAGATAGAAACATGAATGATGAGAGAGAATAATTGATCGCCTGCTGGCTGCTTAATATACTCCCTACCCTCCACTAAGGATTGAGCCCACAACCTGGGATCCAACTGTGATCTCCTGGTTCATAGGTCACTGCTCAACCACTGAGCCACATTGGCCAGGCTTAATTTCTAACTTTTTAAAATGTTTCCTAGCTCTTTGTTGAAGCTCTCACTGAGTTTATCTATTTGTTTCTTAAGTTTCTTGAACATCCTTATAACCAGTGTTCTGAACTCTGCATCCAATACATGGCTTGCCTCCATTTTGTTAATTCATTTTCTGAAATTTTGTCACTTTTTCATTTGGGACATGTTTGTCTCCTCATTTTGGCTGCCTCCCTGTGTTTGTTTCTATGTATTAGGTAGGTCTGCTATGTCTTCCAGTCTTGGCAGAGTGGCGTTATGTAGCAGATGTCCTGCGGCTCTTGTGGCACTCAGCCCTGTTCTCAACATAGCCTCTCCCAGGCACCGCCAAGTCCAGCACATGCAGCTACCAACCCCAGATCACTTTAGAGCTCCTTCCAGGTGGCGTGGGGCTGGTGCTGAACCACAGGCAGCATCTGATCTGGACTTGCACCAGAGCCCCTCTATTTGTTCATCATAACTATTGTCAAAGACTTTTTTAGAACAATATATATGGTTATTCCAAAACAACTATGCAACATCACATAAATCATATTCTTTTTTTTAAATATATTTTATTGATTTTTTACAGAGAGGAAGGGAGAAGGATAGAGAGTTAGAAACATCGATGAGAGAGAAACATCGATCAGCTGCCTCCTGCACACCCCCTACTGGGGATGTGCCCGCAACCAAGGTACATGCCCTTGACTGGAATCGAACCTGGGACCTTCAGTCCACAGCCCGATGCTCTATCCACTGAGCCAAACCAGTCAGGGCACATAAATCATATTCTAATAAATAGTTGCGTGAATGAAAGATTCATGAAAAATCCACTTTTTTTCTTAATTTTATTTTTCAATTAGTTTATATCCAGTATTATTTTGTATTAGTTTCAGTGGTACAGCACAGTGGTTAGATAATCATATACTTTATGATTTCAAGTGCCTACCTGGCACAATACACAATATTATTGGCTAATTTCCTTTGTTGTGCTTTAAATCCCCATGACTATTTTATAACCACCAATCTGTACTTCTTAATTCTTTCATCTTTTTCACACAGTCCCTAGCACCCCTCCCCTCTGGCCACCATCAGTCTGTACTCTGTATCTGTCTGTTTCAATTTTGTTTGCCTGTCTGTTTTGTTCTTTAGATTCCACATATAAGTGAAATCATCCTATATAATAAAAGCCTAATATGCAAATCAGGAACAACTGATCAGAGGCAGGCGGGGCTGGTGAGCGGGCAGCATCAGGCCAGCCAGGCGGGTGCCAGCGGGCAGAGGGAGGGGATGGCGATCGGGAGGTGGCAGTGACCAGCAGTAGTGGAGGGGCGATGGCTGGCAATAGGCTTGCTGGTCACCTCCTGCAGAGGAAGGCCACTGACAGCAGCGGCAGGGCAATGGGGGGCAAGGCCAGAGCTGCCCCCTGGTGATCAGTGCATTCCCACTGAGGCAGCACCCCTCAGCCACAAGCAGGGCTGACCGCTGGCGAGTGCAGCTGCGGCATGAGCCTCTCCCGCGGACAGTCCCCCTGCGTGCCTGAGCAGTGGTGGGAGCAGGCACCGCGGGGCTGGGATGAGCAGAAGTGGCATGGCACGCAGCCCAGGCTTGGGCTCCTTCCCGCTGCCTGCTGCTTCGTACACTACTTCGTGCTGCGCGGGATTGACGCGCACAGTGGGCTGGAGCCCGATGAGCTGGCAAGTAAAGCCAGGCTGCAGCGCCTCGGAGGTCCACTGATTCCCACAGGCCAGGCCGAGGGACCCCACTGGTGCATGAATCCGTGCACCGGGCCTCTAGTATAATATAAAATCACCTGCTGACTGATGACTTTGGGTAGCTGAATGCTCACCAAGAGAAAGGGGTCGTATTTAGATAACTCAATTGACTAAATTTCCCTTACAAAATTCAACAGTTTAAATAATTTTGCTTAAAGTATAAAGCATTGTCATTAAAACTATTTGTATATGGTGTGAGAAGGTAGTCTGATTCACTTTTTGCATGTATCTGTCCAACTTTTCCAACACCATTTATTGAATAGACTGTGTTTACCCCATTTATGTTTTTGCCTCCATTGTCAAATATTAACTGACTACAAAGGCATGGGTTTATTTCTCGGCTCTCTGTCTGTTCCACTGGTCTGCGTGTCTGTCTTTATGCCAATACCATGCTGTTTTCATTCTATGGACTTGTAATATCGTTTAATATCAGGTAGCATGATCCCTCCAACTTTATTCTTCTTTCTCAGGATTGTTGAGGCTATTCATGATCTTGCGTTGTTTCATATAAGTTTTTGGAATATTTGTTCTTGTTCTGTAAAATATGCCATTGGTGCCTTTTTAAAAATTTTTATTGTTGAAAGTATTACTTGTGTCCCTTTTTCCCCCCATTGACACCTTCTAACCATTGGTATCTTGATAGGAATTGTGTTAAACCTATAGACCGCTTTGGGTAGTATTTACACAATTAAATACTACTCAGCCATAGAAAAGAAGGAACTCTTGCCTCTTGCGACAGCATGGATGGGCCTGGAAAACTAAGTGAAATAAACCAGTAGAGAAAGGCAATGAGCATATGACCTCACTCATATGTGGAATCTAATGAACAAAATAAACAAAGTGTAAACAGAGAACAGGCTGACAGCTGTCTGAGGGGAGGAGGTTGAGGGCTGGGTGAGAAGAGAGAAGGGATTAAGCAGAGAAAAAGGAGAAAGAATCATGGACACAGACAACAGAAGGGTCATTTCCAGAGGGAAAGAGGGGTTGAGGGAAGTAGAAGAGGGCAAAGGAAGGATAGATGGTAATGGAAAGAGATTTGACTTGGGGTGGGTGGTAAACACAAAATACAGATGATGTATTGTGGAATTGTGCACCCGAAACCTATACAATCTAATTAACCACTGTCACCCCAATAAATTCAATTACTGGTGAAAATGGAGACTTACTATTATTTTACATTATATTTATTTTAATCCCGATGTGTTTCAACCTTCGTTTCCTTCGAATATTTTCTTCTTCTCCTCTGAATGCTCTATTTCCTTTTACTTTGATTTCAATGCTTTTATTTCTCAGTTACTATTAGTTCTTTATATAATAAACATTGTAACATTTAGTCTCTCAATTTTACACAAAATATATTTTATCAGTTTACTGCTTGACAGTTTTAGAGGTATTTAATATTTAAAGCACTGAAAAATGTCTTTGTCACACAACTAGCATTGCTTCTTATCTTAGACTGTTCTCCACACTTTAATCTTTTAAATATTCAACTCTATTTTTCTATACTTTTCTCCACAACCTCTGCAACACTTGTCTTATTGATAATAGCCATCCTGAAAATTTTTTCATGTACTTTTACCCAGTTTCCCTAATGGTGACAGCTTGAAAAATTATAGTAAAATATCACAACCAGCAAGTTGACACTGATATAGTCAAGATATAGAACATTTCCATTACCTACCATAAAGCTCCTTTATGTTGGCTTTTTTTAGCCACACATATTTCCTCCTACCCCACCCTCCCTAATCCCTTAACTCCTGGCAACCATTTTTCTGTTCTCTAGTTCTATAATTTGTCATTTCTATATTTGTTAGACCAAAAAAGTAAACACAGATAAAAATCTTTGCTTTTATGTAGGTCACCTGGTAGTAGGTCAAGATAGACAATAATCAATTAACATAATAAATAGATAAATTATACAGTATTTTAATTTAGAAAGTAAAGGGTATTTGGGGGGGGGATGTCAGAATGAGGGAAATACTAAGAGATGGAGATGAAGCTGTTTCTAGTGTTAAACAAATGATTGTGTAACAAGTGATTAAAGTAGGCTGAGACTGGAGGCAGGGAAACTAATTAGAAAACTATTCAACACCATAGACAAGAAATGACAAAGGACTAGGACTAAAGCTAGACAATGAGGGTGGAGAAAACAGGATAGATTTGAGAGATATCCAGGAGGTAGAATTTATGAGACTGCTTGTGGAGAGTTTGGGCTTGGTTGACTAATGAACTGTGACAACACAGGAGAGGAAGGAGAAAGAGCAGGGAATTTGTTTCCAGATGATGCTGGTTTTTTGTTTTTGCCAAGGAGGGTGGTGGGAGATGATAAATCAGTGCGTTTCTCTTTGTTGGGGACACGAGTGGAAGACTGAGGTGGAGTTTCCCGAAGAGCAGCACATGCAAGGTGCGGCAAAAGCAGGTTTACAGGTGTTGCTATAAAAATAATGCGATGATTAATAAACAATAATACAGGAATAAACTCTTGCGTACTCGAAACAGTAAACCTACTTTTGCCCCGCCCTGTATTTCAAGAGTGGGAATCAGAATGGATCTCAGTTCTGGGAGTACATAGGCAGAGATTCTCAAACTTTAGCATAAGAATCAACTGGGGAGCTTGTTAATACTTGAGCTCAGGCCTAAAAGATTTCAGTAGCTCTGGAATGGGACCTCAAATCTGCATTTTACACATACATGCACAAACACAGGTGTTCAGGTCCAAATCTCACTTTAAGGAGCACTAATATTGGTAGTGTGCAGTGACCTGCACAGCAAGGTTCAGGGGCTGACTCACAAATGAAAATGCTACACAAGAAATATGAATTTAGAAGGCATGGGGGGCGAGGGGGGGGGGACCTCTTTTGTGGAGAGGCTCACTGAGACTGGGTCCAGGCTGCTTTTTATTCACTCTGCATACACATTTGCCCTTTAGCAATGCATACAGGCAGATCAAAGGTAAAGTTTGGTATACAATGTAAAGATTATCAGTTTGGGAAATCACCTCTAGCCACTGAATATCAAAGTCCATTGGCCTTCCAATGTCTCTTTTTGCACTTTTTGCACTTTTATGCTAATTGCTGTTTGCTTTAGCCTCCGGCAGTAGTGGATGGGATCTGAGCGTGTAAACTGAAGGATACAAGTGTGAAAGAGAAGAGGATTAAAGGTAGAAAGGTAGAGAGCATAGATATATAGGGAGGAATTGCAAAGAGAAACATTCTGAGCTGTGGTCTGAGAGCTCTATTATTCACCAGTTCACATCAATGCCTGAATGTCCTGGACTTGTGGCCCTTCTTATTTGGAGCTGGGAGTTTCTAATAAACCAAGGTGAGAGACATTTTGAAAGGAAGTTGGGTTCAAATGTAGAAGAACCTTGAGTGGCTAAGGAGTTGCTCTGGTTCTGTCATGTGTGAAAACCATGATGAAAGTATTTGATCAGGACAAGAGGATGATGAAGGCAGAAGTGTTGAAAGATCATTTTTGTGCTACCTGTTTGGGAGGAGGAGAAAGTGAAGCAAGGTCAGTTAAGAAAGACTACAGAAAATGAAAATAAAAGCACTAACTAAACTATGCAAAGAATAAGAAAACCGCTGTGAAGAAGTCAGAGAACTGAAACGGGTTTAATTGGGTTGGAGCCTCGGAGACAAAGGCCAAAGAGAATTTTTAGCCAGGATTTTAGCCAGCAGTGCCAAATTATATAGAGATGGCTGGAAACCCACCTGTCACTAAAAAAATAATAATAGCACAGGTATTGTCAGAGGAATTATGGCTAAACAGAGAACTTTCTCACCCACATCTGTTGCTAAGATGATATGCTTTTAACTTAAATTTTGCCTTGAGAAAGATGAGTATTCAAAGTCACTGTGATCTTCCCTGAAGTTCTGAAAAAGGAAAAAGTTCCTACCTTTATTTCTTTTAAAGACAAGTAAATGGCCCAGAAAACTAAGATAAATATCAGCATTACCAGTAATTCACGAGCTGCTGCATTTGGAAACATAGTGAGTACACGATAAGAAAAAAGAGGAGAAATAATCACACATTAAATAAATTAAACATGACATTGCACTGTATATTTTGGTTCCTCCTCAGTGCTTTCCAGAACAGGATTATGTTCTATATGCTGCTATCTCCTGGGTTTCTGGAAAGTTCCATTATATGTTCTTATAGAAATCAGAAACAACAACCCTCTTTGAAGCAGGGAATTGAACTGGTTGAAGGACTCTTGGTTCCTGACCTTCTTCAGTTTGAAGCGACATCCAGGCTCTGAGCCATTTCTCTCATCAAGGTTTTTACCCAGCGCAACTGTTTACCCTAAGAAAAACATTTTTCTGGTGCCCTCCAATGAATCCTGGTCTCTAATTCTCTTGGATGCACACACATGTGTTTATCTGGTGCCCTTCCTCCCCAATCTTATCTGCCTCCAGAGACTTCATTCTAAATCTCCCATTTGTGTCTTTAGGTAGATTGCCTCCACCTCAGGCTTTTAGTCTTCTCATGCTAACGAGGTTAAGAAAGATTGTATAAAGGGAAAGGATGTATTCTAGAGAATTGTCACTGTTGAATGGTTGGGATTTTAGTATTTTAAGTCCAGAATCCCAAAAGTATGTGGCAAAGAGCTAAATTATGGCAGGTTTTTCTCAAACTTTTTTGCCCAGGACCACAGTAAGAAAATCATATCAAATTATCAAAGCCTATTTCAGGGCATCTGCATACACACACACACACACACACACACACACACACACACACACAATAAAACGACATTTATATTACTGTGTATTTTCTAGTTATTCTATTTTAATCCATTCCATTTTAACCATTTTTAAAGTATGTTTCATGTCCAAGTAAACAATTTGACTATGCCAAAGAGCGGTAATGCGCCATTTGAAAAGCACTGGCCGATCTGTGCATCACCCTCCAGTCTCTGCCGTTAAACCCGCAAATACGAGTTAGCGGGTACCACCCCTGTGGGTGAATATGTCCTCCATCATACTCTCATACTCTCTCACAGGAATTACAGTCGTCCAGAGTTCTTTTGGTTAGAACAGTCTTTGCATTCATTTTAGGGTAGGGGTTTCCCTATAAGCTTCATTGATCAAAAGCTGAAAAGCCGTTTGTGGCGATAGTGTGTCCGCTGGAATCACAGGCATCCCTCCCGATGGCCTGTAGCTGCGCACTCCACAGAGCCAGAAGATGGAAGCCAGGAGGGAGTGCGGAAGTTTGTTTTAGGGGATGGATATGGCCAATCACAGTCCAGGATCACCTCTGGTTGAGACCTCACATATTTCTGTACACAGTGCACTTCCCCTTTCTTGCCTTATTTTGCTGTCCTGCAGGATTAGTCACTTCCACAATCGCAGCAGAAGTGTCAGGAAAACTGGAAAGAGGGAAAGCAGAAGCTCTTGTCCACAGTTCCCGCACCACTGAGAATGGATTTGGCTGTTTCTTCTCAATATGTGGAGTGCGTTCTGTTTATTTCTCCTTTTTCCCCACCAGTTTATTTTGTTCATTAGATTCCATGTACAAGTGAGACCATGTGATAATTACCTTTCTCTGACTGGCATATATTTTGCTCAGGATAATGCGCTCCAGGTCCATCCATGCTGTTGCAAAAGGTAAGAGTTCCTCCTTTTTATCACCATGTAGTATACCATTGTGTAAATATACTAAGGCTTTTTTATCCACTAATTTCCTGAGGGGCACTTGGGCTGTTTCCAAATCTTAGCTATTGTAAATTGTGCTGCTATGAACATAGGGGTGCATATATCCTTTCTGATTGGTATTTCTGGTTTCTTAGGATATATTCCTAGAAGTGGGATCACTGGGTCAAATTGGAGTTTCATTTTTAATTTTTCAAGGAAACTCCATATTGTTTACAACAGTGGCTGCACCAGTCTGCATTCCCACCAGCAGTGCAGAAGGGTTCCTTTTTCTCGACAACCTCGCCAGCACTTGTCCTTGGTTGATTTGTTGATGGTGGCCATTCTGACAGGTGTGAGGTGATACCTCGTTGTCGTTTTAATTTGCATCTCTCTGATGATCAGTGACTTTGAACATTTTTTTGACTCTTCACCATCTGTATGTCCACTTTGGAGAAGTGTCTATTGAGGTCCTTTGCCCATTTTTAAAATAGACTGTCTTTCTTTTGTTAAGCTGTATGAGTTCCTTCTATATTTTGGAACTTAACCCCTTATTGGATGTATCATTTGAAAATATGTTCTCCCATACAGTGGGCTCTCTTTTCTTTTTTTTTTTTAAATTGTTTTATTGCTTAAAGTATTACAAAGAGTGGTACATATGTCTCCTTTTTTTTTTCTCCCCTTCACCCTCCTCTAGCCTCCCATGCCCCCCAGTGCTTGTGTCCATTGGTTATGCTTATATGCATGCATACAAGTCCTTCGGTTATCTCTTACCCTCCCCTCCTGCTACCCAACCCTCCCCGGCCTTCCCGCTGTAGTTTGACAGTCTGTTCGAGGCTGCTCTGCCTCTGTATCTATTTTTGTTCATGAGTTTATAATGGTCTTTATTATCCATAAATGAGTCAGATCATGTGGTATATTTCCTTCATTGACTGGCTTATTTCACTTAGCATAATGCTCTCCAGTTCCATCCATGCTGTTGCAAATGGTAAGAATTCCTTCTTTTTTACAGCAGCATAGTATTCCATTGTGTAGATGTACCACAGTTTTCTAATCCATTCATCTACTAATGGGCACTTAGACTGTTTCCAGATCTAAGCTATGGTGAATTGTGCTGCTATGAACATAGGGGTGCATATATCCTTTCTGATTGGTGTTTCTGGTTTCTTGGGATATATTCCTAGAAGTGGGATCATTGGGTCAAATGGGAGTTCCACTTTTAACTTTTTGAGGAAACTCCATACTGTCTTCCATAGTGGCTGCACCAGTCTGCATTCCCACCAGCAGTGCACAAGTGTTCCTTTTTCTCCACATCCTCTCCAGCACTTGTCATTTGTTGATTTGTTGATGATAGCCATTCTGACAGGTGTGAGATGGTACCTCATGGTTGTTTTGATTTGCATCTCTCAGATGATTAGTGACTTTGAGCATGTTTTCATATGTCTCTTGGCTTTCTGAATGTCCTCCTCTGAAAAGTGTCTATTTAGGTCCTTTGCCCATTTTTTGATTGGATTGTTTATCTTCCTTTTGTTAAGTTGTATGAGTTCCCTATAAATGTTGGAGATTAAACCCTTATCGGTGATAACATTGGCAAATATGTTCTCCCATGCAGTGGGCTTTCTTGTTATTTTGTTGATGGTTTCTTTTGCTGTGCAGAAGCTTTTTATTTTGATGTAGTCCCATTTGTTTATTTTATGTTTAGTTTCCAATGCCCTAGGAGCAGTATCAGTGAAGAAATTGCTTCGGCATATGTCTGAGATTTTGTTGCCTTTGGGTTCTTCTAGTATTTTTATGGTTTCCCGTCTTACATTTAAGTCCTTTATCCATTTTGAGTTTATTTTTGTGTATGGTGTAAGTTGGTGGTTCAGTTTCATTTTTTTGCATGTACCTGTCCAATTTTCCCAGCACCATTTATTGAAGAGACTGTCTTGACTCCATTGTATGTTCTTGCCTCCTTTGTCAGATATTAATTGAGCATATTGGTTTGGGTCGATTTCTGGGCTCTCTATTCTATTCCATTGATCTATATGCCTGTTCTTATGCCAGTACCAGGCAGTTTTGAGAACAGTGGCTTTGTAATACAGCTTGATATCTGGTGTTGAGATTCCTCCTACTTTGTTCTTCTTTCTCAGGATTGCTGCAGCTATTTGGGGTCTTTTTTATTCGAGATGAATTTTTGGAGAGTTTGTTCTAGATCTGTGAAATATGCCGTTGATATTTTAATGGGAAGTGCATTGAATTTATAGATGCTTTGGGTAGTATGGAAATTTTAATGATGTTGATTCTACCAATCCAAGAACATGGTATGTTCTTCCATCTGTTTATGTCTTCCTCTATCTCTTTTTTCAACGTCCTGTAGTTTTCTGAGTAGAGGTCTTTTACCTCTTTAGTTAAGTTTATTCCTAGGTATCTTAATTTTTTTGGTGTGATGGTAAATAGGATTGCTTTTTTAGTCTCTCTTTCTGTAAGTTCACTGTTGGTGTATAGAAATGCCATAGATTTCTTGGGGTTAATTTTGTATCCTGCTACATTGCCAAATTCATTTATTAAGTCTAGTAGTTTTTTGATGGAGTCTTTAGGGTTTTTTATGTATAATATCATGTCATCTTCGAATAAGGACAGTTTTACTTCTTCTTTTCCAATTTGGATGCCTTTTATTTCTTCTTCTTGTCTGATCGCAATGGTTAATACTTCCAGTACTATGTCGAACAGGAGTGGTGAGAGTGGGCATCCCTGTCTTGTTCCTGTTCTTAGGGGAAATGGTGTTAGTTTTTGTCCATTGAGTATGATGTTGGCTGTGGGTTTGTCATATATGGCTTTTATTATATTGAGGTATGATCCTTCTATTCCCACCTTGCTGAGAGTTTTTATCAGAAATGGGTGTTGGATTTTGTCAAATGCTTTTTCTGCATCAACTGATATGACCATGTGGTTTTTTCTTCCAATTTGTTTATGTGCTGTATCACGTTTATTGATTTGCAGATATTGTACCATCCTTGCATCCCTGGGATAAATCCTACTTGGTCATGGTGTATGATCTTTCTGATGTACTGCTGGATCCGATTTGCTAAGATCTTGTTGAGGATTTTGGCATCTATGTTCATGAGGGATATTGTCCTGTAATTCTCTTTCATTGTGTTGTCTTTCCCTGGTTTTGGTATTAGGGTGATGCTGGCTTCATAGAATGATCTTGGAAGTGTTCTCTCTTTTCATTTTGTGGAAGTTTCCTTTTGCTGTACAGAAGCTTTTTATTTTGATGTAGTCCCATTTGTTTATTTTCTCCTTATTTTCTTTGCCCTAGGAGATGTATCTGTAAACATATAGCTATGAGAGATGTCTGAGATTTTGCTACCTCTGGATACTTCTA